CCACGCCCACGCCCATGACGATGACCAAGACCATGCCCATGTCATGGATGACATTGGCATGTGCGTGGCAGAGAGGGTTATAACCGTTGGCCTGTCAATGCTCACCGCATGGATCAAGATGGGCATATATGCGGACCCAACTCTCTCTCTTGAGCAACTGCACTTCCCCTTCCCTCTTCCCATATCTACTATGCTGTTGTCTGTGCTCTACCAGGAAAGGTGAGAGCACTTCATCCCCCACTCCCTTTCTCAAGTGCTTCCTCTCCCTCTCTCCCCTCACTCCCCCTTCCTCTCCCCCTATCCCCCCCTCCTCTCCCGTTTTTTCTCCCTTCTCCCCCCCCTTCGCCCCTCCACACCTTACATTTGTCTTCCTATTATCCGGCAGGATATACCGTGTAGTGCGTGGATATGAGGCCGTGTACCAGTGGCCTATTATCCTTCCCATGGACACCTCTCTCCCCGTCCTCTTCTCCCCACCAGATACTCTGCCATGGTACCGGTGCTCTTCTCAGGGGCAATGAGCGCACACCTGTACCAAATGTGCATTGTCAGCTTGTCAACAAGCAGCACAAGTTGTGTGATGGTTTATTTTTAGCAGGACCACCCTGCAATGGCCCCTTCCCGATTTCTATCATTCATGCATTTTGTCACTCACTACATGCACTTCATTACAACCCACTTCAATCCACTCCACTCCACTCCACTCCACTCCACTCCACTCCACTCCACTCCACTCCACTCCTCTCCACTCCACTCCCCTCCACTCCATTCCACTCCACTCCACTCCACTCCACTCCACTCCACTCCACTCCATTCCACTCCACTCCACTCCACTCTACTTCACTCCGATCTCCACTCCACTCCACTCCACTCTACTGCACTCCACTCCACTCCACTCCACTCCACTCCACTCCACTCCACTCCACTCCACTCCACTCCACTCCACTCCACTCTACTTCACTCCAATCTCCACTCCACTCCACTCCACTCCACTCCACTCCACTCCACTCCACTCCACTCCACTTCACTCCAATCTCCACTCTACTCCACTCCACTCCACTCCACTCCACTTCACTCCAATCTCCACTCCACTCCACTCCACTCCACTCCACTCCACTCCACTCCACTCCACTCCTCTCCACTCTCCTCCTTTCCACCCCACTCCACCCCAATCGCCACTCCATCAAGTCCCTCCATCACTCATGCCAACGGCATTCCTCCACATTCTCACGCGCTGATTCAACTCTAAGCTGGGTCCCATGGTCCCATCCCATCTCATCCTTCTATGCATGCAAAACACCCAAACGGCTCTGCTGCTCATCATTGTGTTTTGCTTCAACTCATAACAAACAAGGTTTCCAGCCTATACTAATTCAACCCCCTTATGTTATCGAGGTGACTTATGAGTCGACTCAAAAGTCAAACCAGGTTTCCATCCTATACCAATTCAATCCCATTATGTGATCGCATGCAGAATGCCCAAACGGCTCTCGTCACTGTAGGACGCATCTCGCAGATGTGGAGTAACTATGTGGTGAGCATTGTGTATTGGTTTCTGAGTCGCCTTTTTTTTTTTTTTTTTTTTTTTTTTTTTTTGGTATTCTGTCACAAATTCGATCTGGTCTTAATGTTAACTGACAAAAACGCATCCTTGGGTTGGTATCAGGTGTGGAATAGTGGTGAGCATTGAGCATGCCTAGTTGTGCCCACACTAGCCGCAAAAGCTCTGCACATGCTATGCGCGGTTCTGATGACTGCTTGGTGCTCCGTGTGCTGCATGTGTGCTGCATGTGTGCTGTATGTGTGCTGCATGTGTGCTGCATGTGTGCTGCATGTGTGCTGCATGTGTGCTGCATGTGTGCTGCATGTGTGCTGCATGTGTGCTGCATGTGTGCTGCATGTGTGCGTCAGCTCTTGCGTGCTTGTTCCACCCCATGCCGTGTACTGCTGTGTCGTGGTGTGTCCTGCCCCATGTCATGTCATGTCCTTCATATCGGGTTATGCCATCTTGTCATTGCTTTGCCGTGTCGTCTTACTTTGCTTGCATGCCATGCGAGAGACTTCCCCTGACAATTTTTCTACCAGCCCATACTCCACGTGCCATCTCATGTCACACCCCCATGTCACTTCATGTCCATCTCGTCACGGCCATGCCATCATGTCGTGTCATCTCATGTCGTTTCATGCCATGTTCGCATGCATTGCCACAGGCACACTTTCGTCATCTCCCATGAGCAGAGCAAGAGCACGGGGTAGCTGAGTGTGTTCACCACATTTCTCACCTTTGCTGGCTGCATCGGTAAGCACCACTCACCCTCCATTCTGTATCAGTCAATCACCTCCATGCACTCACCTTGCATGCACTCACCCTCCATGCACTCACCCTCCATGCACTCACCCTCCATGCACTCACCCTCCATGCACTCACCTTGCATGCACTCACCCTCCATGCACTCACCCTCCATGCACTCACCCTCCATGCACTCACCCTCCATGCACTCACCCTCCATTCACTCACCCTCCATTCACTCACCCTCCATTCTGCATCAATCAATCACCTCACGTGTTTTGAGTCACTCAAAACACCATTATGTATCAATCACCTCACCTTCCCATCCATTTATCAGAATCCTGAGGTTCCTCAGACGTCCTTCACTCAGTATGAATAAAATCACATGATTCTCTTGATGGCTTGAGCGACGCCAGTTCTGCCAACCCCTCTTGCAATGTAACACATGACATTTGGTAACCCGACTCACTGCCAAGATTCTGCTTGAGCAAACAAGCATCCAAAGATATAGGCACTTACTGGCCACCCTTGAGTATGGAGATGATAAGGTGTGCTGCATTGGGAGGTTTTCCTGCTCTGCCCGTCTGTTCACGTCTATCCAAGAAAAGGCTCCTCTCAGCAGTAAGGCATCCCTCACATTCCCTTCTCAACCTCCAGTTTCTTAGCTGCTCATTTTCTCACCTCTTCGTGTGCTGTCTCATCCCGTTATTTGTTTGCTGGTTCCACTTTCCTTCCTTGCCCACCAAACCCAACTCCCCCAACCTTCAACCCCACCCCCCCCCCCTCCCCCCCCCCCCCCTCCCCTCTTGCGTTCCCACCAGTTCAACCCAAACTTGCCTGTGTCCGGCGTACATGTGTTCCAGTTTGTATCCGAGTTTCCTCCCATTTTCTCTATTCCCTGTCGCAGTGGCCGTCGGGAGCATTTTGGGCGTGCTATCACACGGCACCATCTTTGCGCAAATAGTGTACTACACCTACATTCGCCAAGGAACAGCAAGTGTGATCGCTGCCTCCAAGAGGAGCACCAGCCAGAAAACTGAGAAATCCAAGGGCATGGAGAGTAAGGCTAAGGCTGGAAAAGACAAGAGCTCATGATTATGGAGGGCAATTTGTTCTATGACACTATGTATGCTACAATATCTGAACATGTTCTAAAATTACTGGTTTATACTGGTAAACGTGTCGCTTCTATAGAAACCGGAGCTAAACTACGGTAATCAAGAGAGGTGACTGGCCAGCAGAGAGAAAAACGTGGGGGGGAGGGAGGGTGGGGGGGGATGATGTTGTTGATATGACAAGAACATGTAGAAGTTGGTACGAGAGATGAGAAATAATGCATTATATTGTAGGTCACATGAAAAACTTATTTCCTGCGAAACAACACTGCAGCACCGCTTATTAGCCATTATTGCCCGAGTCCATTTTTTTTCCTTTCCAAGTCTTCAGCCATGGAACTTCCTTTGCCCCGCGCACTCGTTCTTCACCCTGTCCCAGTTCCGCTGCACCAGAAACTTCATGTTCTTCATTCCAACCAGATTGTACTCGTAGGTCTCCCCGCCGTTGTTCTGACCCGTTTTTGTCGTACCAACGTCGTACGAGCACTTGTCCGCATTCTCCTCACCGCTGTCGTCCATCCACCCGTTTGCAGCATCCGGGTCGGTTGCTGCTTCCGCGATTTCATGAGCGATGGTGGAAACCGTCGCATCGATCGCAGGGTTCCCGTTGGGCGACGTGCTCTGCGCCCCGCAACCGTCGGGGCACTGCCCGTGATGCCCCACGAACGAATACACAACCGGGTTCTCTCCGATCGAGTCCATGGTGTGCCATCCGCAATACTCGCTACAGTAACCGGGGACGGTAACATCCTCGCTAGAAAGGAGTAAATAAATACCACTCGCGTCGTACGCAAACGCCTTCCCATCGCCAATATTGCTCGAAACCACTGCGACAGAAAGAGGGCTTTGAATGGTTTTTGATTGTGACAAAAACGAATCCTAGCATCTTTTCAGTACAGATGGCGCATAGATGCGAAAACGCAGCGATGGATATCTATGAATGCTGGAACAGCAAACCGCTTCTCCCCCTCTCCCACACCCCACTTCCTCTCTCTCTGGGAAACCACAAAGCATGTCGCACGGCATACCGTTCCAGACTGTGTCGTCGGCAAAACTCTTTCCCGCCGAGTAGTTGTCGTAGACGGTCCCCGCGAGACGCACCTGGGATAAAACCGAGTCAATTTGCGAGTTGAGAAATCAAGATGAAAGCGAATAACGAGGGTGGTGTGCTTGCAATGACCCAAATCTCGATGTTTATCCGGGTCGCGTTTGGGTCACCCATTCGTTTCCAGCAAAAACGTTTCCTCGGACGTGACGTGGCGAGCATTTCCTCCTGACGGTCCGCGTGTCATGCGACGAACCTTCGTGCTGACGTTCGTCGGCGCGCCATCCACCTGCTGCGTGTACGCCGTGCTGATCGCCCACCAGCGCTTCACCTTGGGCTCTGCGGGATCCCCTTGCCGCTTCGAATCCTTGCTCAGCGACTTGATGAAATTCTCAATCACGTTTTGCCCCGATCCTTCCGGCCAGCTGCCGTAATAGATAATGTACACGTTAATGGACGGGTTTCCGGTCATCACGGGCCCGCCTAGGTATTTGATCGGAGCGCTTGAAGTGTCGCTCCCGGATTCGCCCTTTTCGCGCTCTTCCTTCTCATGATGCGCCTTCGTTTCGAACATGTGGAGAGGCGGGCGCCCAGGGCGTTCTTCGATGTCGTTCAGCTGGCGCTGACGGCGGTACTCCTCGTGCGCCTGGCGCGTGCGCGCGACTCCGCGCTTAGTTGGACCGGCGGATGCGAGGGAGAGCAGCAACAGGCAGACGAGGGAGAAGAGAACGAGCTGCATGGAGAAGGTGTCTGTGAGTTTCGCCATTGGGTCGCTGGTGGGAGAGGTTCTTGAAGGCTCGAATAACTAGGAGTATCGATGATAGGCACCGGAGTTTCCGGGACTAGATTTCTAGTGCAGTTTGGGGTGACTTCACCGTCAGATCGCACTCGAATTGCTCTCCTGATTATGAACAAGGGGATCTTTAAGCGGACCTGCGGTCGTGGAACTTTCTGCGGACCTAGGTCTCGAAACGGTTCTGAAATTGGTGAGCACAAGACGCGAGAGGCACGCAATTGAGAAAGGAACGAATGCTGGTAAGAAGCGCCGAAATGAGGCCCTTATACCTCTCTGAGCACTGGAGGCGCTCTGGTTGCCGGCGACGTCGCTGCCGTTCGAATGCCCACAATTATTGCTGTGACTCTGATACATCTCTGGTTCTTGATAAAAACATGTTCTTGCAGTGTTTGTCTGCTTGTCTGGTCTGGACTCTGGAGTGCAATGTCCAATAATTTCGCGACTCGATTTCCTCCAGAGTGTTCAGGTTGAATGGACGACGAATTCACAATTTCGCGACTCGATTTCCTCGAGTGAGTTGAGTTCTGAAGAACGTCGTGAATTGGTGAGTTGGTGGGTTCCTCAGCTCCACTGTATTTCCGAGTACTGTACAGAAGCGAGTTCGATATGCATTAGAACACGCACTGAACAAAAGTCTAAAAATGTTGGTACTAGGTTGCAACCTCAACGAGTGTCCCTTCGCCGAGACACTTAATATCGGGGAATTTTAGAATTGTTGTTACTCTACTGCCACCCTCAGCTCGAAATCGCCGCAATTCGCGCAGGGCGAGTAGACGGCGATAGGTTTGAGTGACGGTTCTCGAACATCCCTTTTAGATAGACTATAAGTTCGCCTTAGCCGGTTTGTGAATTCCAGCTGCCACGTCAGCATCATGGCAGCAATCAGTGCCACCCTGCCAGCAGCCATTCACAACTCAGCTTCACTTCGCTGCGACGCGGGTTTCAACCCGCGCCGCGTGTACCCCGACGTCTCCCTTCCGAGGACGCGCCTCCTTGCGAGGACCTCCCGTAATTCGTCCGTCGTCGCATCTTCTCCCTCGAATTCAGGTAGTTTCGTCACTTTTCCATCGCTACCTCCCCCCTCCCCCTCCCCACCCGTCTTGTTGCGCATCGTCTCCCTCGAATACAGGTAATTTCGTCACTACTCCACCCCCCCGCGCCTCGCCTCACCCTTTTTTCTTTCCCCTCCCCCTCGTCGCCCCTCATCCCCCCACAGCTTCCTTTCCGCCACCAACCCGCCTTTGCCCCACCTATCCGCGGAGTCCTTTTCCGCTGCGCCCCCGCCGCTCCGCACTGCGCTGCTCCTAGCCCCCTGTTCGCTCCGCGCTGCCCTTTTTCTCCCTCCCCCCCCTCCTCCCCTTCTCCTCCCCGGAGGGCCCATCAATAGCGTTCACCAATTTTGCAACCCTGTAAAACAGGAATCGCCATATTTGCCCTCCTGCACACAGGGCAATTGGAAATCCCAATCTGCTCTTTGCTCTGCTTTACTCTGCCCTGCCCCTTCCCACCCACACACCCACACACCCACCCACACACCCATCCCCCCACCCCCCTCCTCCTCCCCCCAAATCCACCTGTCCAGGCCCCGCCTCTCCTCCCGCTCTTCCCGAGCCGCTCATTCCTCTCGGCCAATCAGAGCTGCGCGTGTCACCGCTGGGAATCGGCACGCTCCAATGGGGCGATCCGCGGTCGGGCTTTGGTGAACAGTACTCCGCTGCTGACCTGGCAGAGGCCTTCCGGGCGGCGCTGGCGGGCGGCATCAACCTGTTTGATTCTGCAGAGGTGCTCGCTTGAAGGCAGACTGAACTATTGCCATTAACTGACTTCGTTGGTTCCAATAAGCACGTTGACTGACTCTGTTACATGCTTATATAGAGTACGCCTGTCCTGTTGTCCTCGTTGTCATTCATGTAACCAGAGAGTGACTTTATCATATGGTCCAAAGCCTCTCTCTGGTCTGGTTACGTGTAACCACTCTCTTGGGTTGATAGTCCGAATAAATGAGCCTTGTGTCATAACATATGTGGCACATATGGCACCGAATAACATATGTGGCACCCTTCCACTCCGCTCTCGTCTTCTTCCCCTTCCACCCGTCTAGCTGCCCTTCCCCTCCCCCCTTCACCCCTCCTCCTGCCCTGTCTGCTGCTCCATCCGCCACACCAAGCCCTCTTCTCCTCACCGTTCACCGCCCCACCACACTCGTCTCGAATGGCCCTTCATCTCTTTGCACGCCTCCTCCCTCTCGTCCCCTCCTGCGCCCCTCTCCCCCCCCCCCCCCCCCCCCCCCCCACGTCTTTCCCCCAAAAATCCCTGCTTCTCCCCATCCCGTACGCCCCCTCTCCGCCCCCTGTACCCCCCTGTACCCCCTTCCCTGTTTACCTCTCCACTTTCTGCCTCCCCTTGCAGGTCTACGGCTACCAAAGCATCCCAACGGGTAACTCCTCCGAGCAGCTTCTGGGAAGGTTCGTGGCGGAGGAGAAGGCGAGGAGGCTCCAGGAGGGAAGCGACAGCTCGCAGCTCCCAGCACCTGTAGCAGCTACCAAGTTCTTCACCATCCCCTGGACCAACCTGCTCGTGGGTACGCGCGATTCATTTGTGCACGCCCAGCCTGGCTGGGAAGCCAAACCTCGCTTCCCTGCCGCCTATAGCCTGCTCCCCTGCCCTGCTGCACCTGTAGCGGCCTCAAAGTTCTTCACCATCCCGTGGACCAACGTGCTCGTGGGTATGTATGTGCGCATGCCAAGCCAGGGGGATGCGCCTTGGGGCAATGGACAGTGCCCCTTGAGGGGCCTGGAAGGAGCGACAGTGACAGCTCGCACTCCCCAGCTGCGCCTGTAGCGGCCAGCAAGCTCTTCACCATCCCCTAGACCAACCTGCTCGTGGGTACGTGCGATGGATCATGTATGCGCGCACGCCAAGCCGGGTTTGGGCTGTGTGCCTCAGAGCCTGGAAAGGAGCAACAGCGAGTGGTTCCTTCCCCAGCAACAAGTTCCCCAGCAACAAGTTCCCCAGCAACAAGTTCCCCAGCAATAAGTTCCCCAGCAATAAGTTCCCCAGCAACAAGTTCCCCAGCAACAAGTTCCCCAGCAACAAGTTCCCCAGCAATAAGTTCCCCAGCAATAAGTTCCCCAGCAACAAGTTCCCCAGCAATAAGTTCCCCAGCAATAAGTTCCCCAGCCACAAGTTCCCCAGCCACAAGTTAAGACGCAGCAAGAGGCATCAAGTGGCTCGGGATCCTGTGGAGTGGACCAACCTGCGCTAGTCGACTCAACTCAAGGGTAAACTTGTCATGGAATCAGGGTATACTGGATGTGCGTATGAATCTATGCTTCTTAGGTAACCGTGGCTCATAGATTCAGAGCAGACTCTCTGCCCACCCCACTCACCTCGCCTCCTGCCCCCTGCCTCTACTCCCTCTTGCTGCGTCTTAGATTGTTGTGCTTTTTTTCCTTGGCTTCGAATGACCCTCCCCATTCTCCCTCACTCTCTCTCCTTCTATCACCTCTCCCGCAAATCCCCGATTGCTTCCCTTGCCAGGTGGCGGGCTGCGATTCGGCCGCCAGTCGCTGATAGATGCTCTCAAGGCGAGCCTGCAGCGCCTTGGCATGGAGCGAGTTGATCTCTACCAGGTAGCACCTGCACCAGGTGTGACCTGCACCAGGTATCATCTGCACCAGGTATCATCTGCACCAGGTATCATCTGCACCAGGTACAACCTGCACCTTTTTCTGACGTTACCAACATGACGGTCACGGTGAGCCATATGACAACTGCGGAAGAACTTAAGCCATTGTGCTGACGCCATTGTTTAGTAACTAAGGATGCCATGCAAGCAGAATCACTTCTGCTTCCCCAGCACCATGAACGCCTCTCTAATCAATAGCGGCTCAATCAAGCACATACCGAGAACCCCCTTGCCATCCCGTCTCTCGTGCTCTCCTCCCTCCCACCCGTCCATGCCCTTCCATGCATCACCTCTTATCCCCTTCCCTGGCAGCTTCGCTTCCCCTTCCCCACCATCAGCAACGCCACGCTAATGGGTGTGCCCCGCCCCATACAGTCCTATGCGACGGACGACCGTGTAATCTCCTCTGCCGTACCCCCCCCCCCTTCCCTCCACTCCCTTCCCCATCAGATCCATTTTCCCTTCCCCACCATCAGCAACGCCACGCTAATGGATGGGCTAAAGCAGGCGCATGCAGAGGGGCTGGCCACGGCTGTGGGTGTGTCCAACTATAACACACAGCAGGTAGCGGTTGAAGAAGGTGTAGAGTGGTTAGAAGGAGCGAGTGATGGTGGGTGAGAGAGGTGGGTGAGAAGCCACGGCTGTTGGAGTGCCCAACTGCAACACACAGCAGGTGGAGTCTGGGGGGAGAGTGAGGGGTGGATGGAAGCAGTAGGTGTTGCTGGGATGGGGTGTCTGTTTAGTGCTGAGTTGTCAAACGGCAAGCCCAAACGCTCGTATGCACATGGGCTCGGCGCGGCTGGGGGAGTGTCCAATTGCAACACACAGCAGGTGGAGTCTGGGGGGGTAAGTGCGAAGTAACTGCAACACGTGTCAGAGAAAAATAGATTCGACTCAGATCCAGCAGACCAAACCCCTCCTAATCTTTGCTATTCCATGCTTAGGCTAGGTAGGGATCAAGTAGACATGGGCTCAAGTGGGCGCATGCAGAGGGCCGTTTCTGCCCCCTCTCCCACCCCATCGCCCTCCTTCCCATCATGTTTGCTCCCTCCCTCTCCCCCCTGCCCCACTCCAGCAGTTGCAGAGGGCGCATTCCCTTCTCAAAGCAGCAAGGTGGCTTTTGATTTGACATGATAGTCACCCTTCTGCCCCCGCTCCCATCCCTTCTGCCCTCCCTCCCTCTCTTTCCTGCCCCCCCCAGTTGCAAGAGGCGCATTCTCTTCTCAAAGCAGCAAATATCCCGCTTGCCTCAAACCAGGTCAAATTCAAGTGAGCTCATTTTGAACACGAGACGAGAGCCCTTTGGAACGTGACATGAGTCGCAGGTGTATGTAATCCCTTGTAGTCAGTTCACTTGCATGCATTCAGCCTTGTTTTATGAAATCGTTGTCGCTGCTTTTCATGGAATCAGTTTTGTTTGAGTCGTTTTTTCTGCACAGTAGGCCAATTTCAAGTGAGGCAGGTTTGTGGCTTGAACGCTGCTCCTCCTTTTCCCTCACTTCTCCTCCTCACCTTCCCCTCTCACCTCTATATCCTCTCGTCTCTCTTCTCCTCCCACACACTCCTCTCCCTCACCAACCACCCCTTTCTCTTAAGCCCTTCATTCCTCTTCCTGTCATGCCCACCCCCTTTTTTCCGTCCTACCAGCCTCTTGGACCGAGGCACAGAGACCAACGGTTTGCTGCACGCATGCAAGGTGAGCAGTGGTGTGATGAGAGGGGGGGCTGAGTGGTGGAAGCGCGGGGTGTGTCACATCACAACCACAGCAAATAACAATGACAGGGTGCTTCAACACGTGGCACCAGCCTCTTGAACCGACGCACAGAGACCAACGGTTTGCTGCACGCATGCAAGGTGAGCAGTGGTGTGATGGGAGGGGGGGCTGAGTGGTGGAAGCGCGGGGTGTGTCACATCACAACCACAGCAAATAACAATGACAGGGTGCTTCAACACGTGGCACCAGCCTCTTGAACCGACGCACAGAGACCAACGGTTTGCTGCACGCATGCAAGGTGAGCAGTGGTGTGATGGGAGGGGGGGCTGAGTGGTGGAAGCGCGGGGTGTGTCACATCACAACCACAGCAAATAACAATGACAGGGTGCTTCAACACGTGGCACCAGCCTCTTGAACCGACGCACAGAGACCAACGGTTTGCTGCACGCATGCAAGGTGAGTAGTGGGGGAACCTGCGGTGCAGGGCGGAGTGGGGGAGCAGGGGGTATTTCACAAGCACAGGGGATAAGAATCACAGGGGCACTGCACCACATTGCACGTGCCTCTTGGACCGAGGCACAGAGACTAGCAGGCTGCTGCACGCATGCAAGGAGGGCAGTGAGCAGCGGTGCACGGGCGGGAGGGGATGGGGGGGTGCTGATTTGGTGGAGCATGGGGTGTGTCACAGGCGCATGGGATAAGAATCACAGGGCATCTCAACACGCCGCACCAGCCTCTTGGACAGAGGCACAGAGACTAGTGGGCTGCTGCACGCATGCAAGGTGGGCAGTGGGCGAGGCGAAGCAGTGAGTAGGGGGAGCAGTGAGGGGGGGGAGCAGTGAGCGGGGGGAGTAGTCCCCCTTACGCTCACCCCACCTCCCCCTGAACCCCACCTCCCCCGCTACCCCCACCTCCCCCCTATTACCCACCCCACCTCTCCCCACCCCCCCCCTCCCCATCAGGACCTGCAAGTGTCTCTCATAGCCTACTCGCCCCTGGCATGCCCCCTGTCTGCTCCCCTCCTCCACTCTCCTCTCCTTCGCAGCAACCCCCCCCCGCCTGTCCCCACGTCCCAGCCACAGGACCTGCAAGTGTCGTTCATAGCCTACTCTCCCCTGGCATCGGGGCTGCTACCTACCCTCCCCTCCTCCCCTCCACCCCACTCCCCCCACCCCACCACCCCACCCCACCCACCCCACCCTCCCTACCCCACCATCCCATCAGGACCTGCAAGTGTCGCTCATAGCCTACTCGCCCCTGGCATCGGGCCTGCTCACGGACAAGGCGCTCACACGCACAGACAAGGATGCAGTGCGGGTGAGTCAAACTTTCGAGTGTCGAACCCCTACTTAGTGCCTCTCTCTGCTCTACTCACCCCTGGCATCGGGCCTGCTCACAGACAAGGCGCTCACACGCTCAGACAAGGACGCAGTGCGGGTGAGTGGGACTTGCGTGCTCAAAACCCTGAGTGTCATGCGATGTGCTGCTGGTGTCGCCCTGTGCGCTACACCCCTGGCATCGGGCCTGCTCACGGACAAGGCTCTCACACGCTCAGACAAGGATGCCGTGCGGGTGAGTGGGGGAGGGTGGGGGAGGAGGGGGAGGTGAATGGAAGAGCTTGGCCTGTGCTGTGCTGTGCTGCCAGTGCCTGCTTGTGCCCTACTCGCCCCTCGCATAGGGCCTGCTCACGGATAAGGCTCTCACACGCACACACAATGACGACGCTGTGCGGGTGGGTGAGGAGGGGAGCAGGGACAAGCGTGAATGAGTGAGAGTGAGGTGGCGTGGAAGGGGGGGGTAAAGGGAAGGGCGTGAGGGTCTTTTTTGCTGCTCACAGACAAGGCTCTCACACGCGCACACACAAGGATGCTGCGTGGGTGAGTGGGACTTTCAAGTGGCGACCCCTTAGGGTTTAGGGTTTGTGGGCTTGCTTGTGCTGTGCTGCTGTGGCCGGCTTGTGCTCTTGTTGCCCTTGCTTCTGTGCTTCTCACGGACAAGGCCCCCCTGTCCCCCTTCCTATCCCCTGCTGCATGCTGCAGGTTCGTCCCTTGCTGGAGCTGATGAGGGGGATCGGGGAGGAGTATGGCGGCAAGAGTGTTTCTCAGGTATGCATGGCGGGGAAAGGAGCTCTTTGGTGGGAAACGGAGGAGCTTCACCGTAGCATGTAATGTGGTTCTGGGTAGAGATGCGGGCACGAATGACTGTTTTGATCAGAACAGGCATTGTGAGGCAATTTCAATTTCATGTGCCGCAATCTCGCATGTGCAATCTCGCATGTGCAAGGGAGCCATGTGCAAGGGAGCCATGTGCAAGGGAGCCATGTGCAAGGGAGCCATGTTTTGCACACCCATGATTGGCTCTGTCCCTCCAAACTCTTTTCTTTTTTTGCCATTTTAAAGGGCCATTCCCATCACCGTGTTGCCATGTCCCCACCAGGTAGCACTAAAGTACATCACGTGCAAGAGCGCCATACCATCCGCATCCAAGCTGTTCCCTCCCCTCCCAATGTCCCCTTCCCCTTCCATGTCTCATTCCCATACAGGTCGCGCATCATGTGCAAGAACGAAACTCCTATTTCACCTGTTTTTCCCCCTTACACCCTCCCCTCCCCTCGCCCCATCCCTTTCCTTCCTTGTCCCCATCAGGTGGCACTGAACTACATCATGTGCAAGGGTGCCATTCCCATCCAGGCTATTCCTTCCCCTCACCCCTCCCCATGTCCCCTTCCCCTTTCATATCTCACTCCCATACAGGTGGCACTGAACTACATCATGTGCAAGGGTGCCATTCCCATCCAGGCTATTCCTTCCCCTCACCCCTCCCCATGTCCCCTTCCCCTTTCATATCTCACTCCCATACAGGTGGCACTGAACTACATCATGTGCAAGGGTGCCATTCCCATCCCTGGGTACGTCGCAGCACCTACATGAGCCTCCTCACTCACAGCCTCCTCACTCACAGCCTCCTCACTCACAGCCTCCTCACTCACAGCCTCCTCACTCATAGCCTCCTCACTCACAGCCTCCTCACTCACAGCCTCCTCACTCACAGCCTCCTCACTCACAGCCTCCTCACTCACAGCCTCCTCACACACAGCCTCCTCACTCACAGCCTCCTCACTCACAGCCTCCTCACTCACAGCCTCCTCACTCACAGCCTCCTCACTCACAGCCTCCTCACTCACAGCCTCCTCACTCACACTCACAAGTCTCTTCACTCACAACCCTCCTAGAACCTTCTCAGGCTCAAGGCTCTGGTGTGGCTCCCTCAAGGACCATGTACGGCTGTCACGACCAGAAATGGATGGTGCCCTTTCTCTCCCCAGACCAGACTCTTCTTGTATGAAAGGGCACCATCCATTTCTGCATACGTTTGCAATCAACCAATTCTTTGTTGTTATCTTGAGAGAGTGATTGCGTAGCCAGTTGGTTACTACCAGGTGAGAACCAAGGGGTTGAAGGGTCAAGGAGAACGATTGCTTGATTTTCCATAGTCCACGTGGTCTCCTTCCCCACAACCCCCGGTTGCCAATCTGGTTGCCCACGTGGTCTCCCCCCCGGTTACCCTTCTGGTTGCCCACGTGGTCTCCCCCCCGGTTACCCTTCTGGTTGCCCACGTGGCTATTCACTGACGTGCGATGGTCGATGGTTGTGGTGGTGGGCATGCAAGCACACGGCAGCTTGTTCAGTTCTTCTTCTTGCGTCAACACCCTCAGTTGATAGCTCTAACTCAACGAGCCATACTCAAAGGGGACGTATTATTGAGGTGCCTTGAAAAAAATGACCGAAGAGGATGTAACTCCAGAACAGCTGCACTTTCTGTGAAGAAGAAGGTAAACTTTTAGCAGAAGGTAAACTTTTAGAAGAAGGTAAACTTTTAGAAGAAGGTAAACTTTTAGAAGAAGGTAAACTTTTAGAAGAAGGTAAACTTTTAGAAGAAGGTAAACTTTTAGAAGAAGGTAAACTTTTAGAAGAAGGTAAACTTTTAGAAGAAGGTAAACTTTTAGAAGAAGGTAAACTTTTAGAAGAAGGTAAACTTTTAGCAGAAGGGAAGCCGCCTGGCCATTTTCCACTCTCTGTGCGAGTGGCGGTGGGCTGTCGCACTCTCGCTGCGGCGAGTGGCGGTGGGCTGTCGCACATGTTGCCAGTTGGCCATTCTTTCGCCGCAGCGCCTTGTCGTCCACCCTGTTCTCACTTGCATTCCTGTTCCTTTCCTGGATACAATTTCTTTGAAATTCGCCTCCTGCCATTTCGCCCTCCTCCATTTCTTATCCTGCGGGGATGCTGTAGCGTCGAACCCTGCCCTAGTGACGCTGAAGGTGTCATTCAGAATTCTCAGAAGTGTCTTTGTTACGCTGCATTTTATAGTTGCCTCAGACATTGAACCATGTCCTCGTGACGCCGGATTTTATTGCCCTATTGATGCGGCAGCTTCTTCCATCTGTCAATCCCCCCCCCCTTTTCCTATCGCCCCCATTCTCCCTCCCCCCGTCTCGTTCTTTTTCCATCCTTTCTGCCTCGCCGTGTCTCCACCTGATTCCATATGCCCTCCATCCCCCATGACTCCTCCCATCTCTCCCATGACTCCTCCCATCTCTCCCATGACTCCTCCCATCTCTCCCATGCCTCCTCCCATCTCTCCCATGACTCCTCCCATCTCTCCCCTGCCTCCTCCCACCTCTCCCATGCCCATCTTCTCATCCACCAACCACATGTTACCCCCGCACCCCTTCCCGCACCCCCCCCCCAGCTGCAAGACAGCAGCACACGCCACAAGCCACCTGGGGAGCATGGGCTGGCGTCTTACACCTGAGCAAGGTAGATATCGTGTGATTTAGTGCGGTGCACTGAGGTACAGTCCAGTGCAAGGTAGGGTGCACTGCGGTCTAGTTTGTGAGAGCTTTCGTGCGGTGGAGTCCCGTTGAGTGCAGTGCAGTGCAGTCTTGTGACAGGCAACTTGCTCCGTCATTCCTGCTCCTGTTCTTTGGGCTTGATGCTCCTTTTTTCATTTCCACCACACCACTTCACAATGCGTCTGCTAACGTTGTCCCATAGACTCACACTCTCGTCACACAGGCTCATGCTCTCCTCTCAAAGACTCACACTCTCTGCGCACATATTCACACTCTCTTTTAACAGACTCGCACTCTCTTCTCACACTAGCACACTCTCTTCTCAGACTCGCACTCTTTTCTCAGGCAACCTAAACGATCATCCCCCCTTCCCCCGTTCATCGCCCCCTTATCCACTCATCAACCTCAGTTTGTCCTTTGAGCATTCTCAAAAGCCATTCAGATCACTTTCAGAGGGAAACCAATCCATGTCATTAGGGGCTCCCAGCACACCTGCAGCATGGCGATCAGCTCATGTCATTTGGGGCCCACTCTCGCTCTTCTCAACCAATTCAAACTATCATCCCTGCTCCCTCCCCTCACCGCTGCCTCCCTTATCTGCTCATCAACCTCAAGAGTGGCACGAGCTGCTCACAGGCCAACATCGTGATTTCAGAGTGTGTGGCATGTGTGGTTATCTCATTGACATGTCCGGCTCACACGGATGTGCGAGCAGCATGGCTTCACAGTGTCTGACATGCGTGGTGACATGCGTAGCAACCTCATTGACATGTGCGAGCAGCATCGATCCACAATGTCCGACATAGTCATGGCATGGCTGCTCCACGGCTTCTATTGTTCTCACTTCTGTGGTGCATCCCTTTGCCTTCCCCTCCATGCTCCCCTCCATGCTCCCCTCCATGCTCCCCTTCTACTTCCCGTACGTGTATGGCAGTGGTGGCACTGGAAGAGAAGGCTGGGCAGGTGAGGTGACAGCACTGGCTCTGGGTGTTCTATTGTGCCAGTCTAATTATAATATGACGTGTACATTGTAAAGTAATAAAGGCATAGGCTGGAAGTGGATAACTTAAAAGAACCCAGTCTGATTTCCCACCTTCACTATTATTCAACGAGTGAGTACCGTATTACCCCGGATAGAAGCGCACCTGCGCTTATAATAAAACATAGTTTTTAGGGGGTTGCGCTTCTAATTGAGTCATTTTTATAAGCGCATGCGCTTATATAATGACAGATACAGATATATAATTTTATAGCATCAAAATGTACATCTCAGTCGTACGATTCCAATCGAGGCGAAAATTTTATAGCGCCACGAACCAGAATCGCGCGCTACCAATTTTTTTCGGGGAATGATCATATTGGGGCCTCGGATTAGCAGAACGATGGCCAACTTGGGGCCTCGTGATTCGCGACCCTACGAAGAAGGCCCGAAGCAACCCACAAGCCTAGGCAGCTAGGCCGAGCTCGCCAGGTCACCACCTGCTGGCTTGGGTTTGACGGATTTCGCTAGCACCCTGGTTCACGGGAGCAGCGATCGTCAGCCCATTCACAATGGGCAGTACAGATACTTCAGAGAAATAACCCAGAAATAAACATTTTAGCCCAAAAATATTATCGCAGTGGTAAAAAATAAAACCCAATCGGATGGCATAAAATTGGGGAGGCATCAACCCTAAACACATGCGACAAGGTGTTTAGGGTTGATGCATCCCTGACCGGATGCATGCCCGTAGCGATCGTCAGCCCATTCACAATGGGCAGTACAGATACTTCAGAGAAATAACCCAGAAATAAACATTTTAGCCCAAAAATATTATCGCAGTGGTAAAAAATAAAACCCAATCGGATGGCATAAAATTGGGGAGGCATCAACCCTAAACACATGCGACAAGGTGTTTAGGGTTGATGCATCCCTGACCGGATGCATGCCCGTATGGGGTTTATATTTTTTGCCAGCTTGTCCGTTCAGAAATCCGTCACCTTGTGTGGTCAGGTCTGACGGAGCGCGTGGGTGAGGTCCGAAATTGGTTAGAGACAGGTCCGGACCAGGTTCGACACATTGCGACACACGAGGCCCCAAGTTGGCTACATTCCTAGAACTTCGGGGCCCCAATCTGATAATTTCCCATTTTTTTCCAACACACAGGGGCAAAGACACGTCAGTTTGCCCCTATGCCAGCACATCTTGACCTGACGCGCAGCTTCTGAGGTCTTCGCGAGTCAAACGAAGCGATACAGAAATTAGGCTCGCTTCAAAAACGAAACTCGTTACTGTGTTTAGCAGGTTTTAAATAAAAAATTAGGCATGCGCTTATAATAAAACAGGGTTTTACAGGGGGTGCGCTTATAATTGAGGATCGGCCATAAGCGCATTGCTCCAGATATAAGCGCATTCGCTTTTAATAGGCCTGCGCTTATATCCGGGGCGATACGGTACCGTATCTGCATCAACAAACAGGTATATTATTGCATCCCAGTACTATGAAGGTGAAGGCAGGGCCTATCTTTGGATTTTGGCTACTCATGATTAGCAGTGTAGCCATTTTCAAAACCTTTTGAGCAGTGTGTCTTTTTTGGAAACACTAATGGATCAGTGTAACTTGAACTTTTGAAAATTTTACCCAGAGGCATCAGTATAGGTATTTTTTTACCCTGATTGTACTGTAGGCAGTTGTGTGTTCCATCTGAAACCGAAACATGCTAGTCCAGGGTGATTTGCGATAGAATCTGCTGTGACAGACAAATCTCTGTCGTGATAGATCGAATTTGCATATTTCTCTACTGTGATAGGTCGAATCTGCGTGATCTCTTCTGTGATAGGTTGAAAATGCACTGACAAGTCAAATTTGGTCTTGCTGGAGGAATTTGGCGTGGCACGTCAAGAATGAACCTACTTGTCGGTCCCACTTCTTGTAACAAGAAACGAGAGATTGTACTTTGATTGGTCAGACATGCCTTGGTAAAACAAACTGGTGCGTTAGACAGGAAAAATGGAAAATCTGATGGATCAGGCACCTTTGAATCCTAGCGAGGACCTTGGTTGTCAGTACTCACGTGCTGGGGTTGTAGTGCATCATTGCGTGAGTACTCTGCACGAGCAAGACGCAGCTAACTGTCCCGACGCAGACGCCCGACTCGACGCAGCCACCTGACCTGACTCAGCCACTTGTGCAGACGCAGTGGTCAGTGTGTACAGACTAGACCCAGGCTGTCGAGTGAACGTAGCCAGGTGACGGCCAGTCCGGGAGCACGTACAGATCGCCACACACTGCCGTCCAGGAACAAAGGTATCAACCCAGACATCCTGAACGGCAGCGTTGCTCACCAAGTTCGTCGAGAACGTGGGGAGGTGGAGACCTGACAGAGAACCGGAGGGGACTGCTGGACAAGGGAGGACAGTGGAAGCTCTCGCAACTACTGGGCCCCCAGAGGGGTCAGCCAGTGAGACTGGGACAGGTGATGCGAGTGGTGTGACTATGGTGCAATCACGAAAGAAGCAACGTGACGCGCCTGAGTCAAGTGTGAAATTGTGCAAGACCTCAGCTGAGGCAGGACCTGTGGCAGTAGACGCACTAGCACCTAGAGCGCCGGCAGACTCACGGGCACCTAGAGCTGCAGCAGACTCACCAGCACCTGGAGCAGCAGCATACTCACTAGGACCGAGAGCAGTAACCTCTACACAGCCACGGACGCATCGCTGAGAAGCACAGTCGCGAGGCCGCTTAGGCCACGTATAACCAAATCCTCCACCACCAGGACTGCCTCGCTGAACAACCCACTCACAAAGCTGCTGAGGGGTGGGGTCGTCCGGGAGAGGCAGTGCCCGCTGCTGTCCACCCCTGGCCGCTGCAACTGCCGCGATAGTGGCCATGAGAGACAGTGACGGTCAGGAGGAGGTCCAGCACCTCCGGCTCCTCCAGCACCAGCAGCACCTCCAGCACTCCCAGCAGCACCTCCACCAGCAGCAGCAGTAGCACGAGTAGTAGCAGCAGCAGGGCGGCTCGGGTTTGGGCGGCGCGGCTCGGCCTGGGCGGCGCGGCTCAGGCTGGGCGGCGCGGCTCGGCAGGGCGGCGCGCGTGCTGCAGAGGCGGCGTGCGGGCTGCAGGGGCAGCGCGCGGCTCGGCAGGGCGGCGCGCGGGCTGCAGGGGCAGCGCGCACGGGCTGCAGAGGCGACGCGCGGCTTGGTAGGGTGGCGCGTGGGCTGCAGGGGCGACGAGCGGCTTGGCAGGGCGGCGCGCGGGCTGCAGGGGCAGCGCGCGGCTCGGCAGGGCGGTGCGCGGGCTGCAGAGGCAGCGCGCACGGGCTGCAGGGGCGACGCGCGGCTCGGCAGGGCGGCACGTGGGCTGCAGGGGCGACGCGCGGCTCCGCAGGGCGGCGCGCGGGCTGCAGGGGCGACACGCGGCTCCGCAGGGCGGCGCGCGGGCTGCAGGGGCGGCACGCGGCTCGGCAGGGCGGCGCGCGGGCTGCAGAAGCGACGCGCGGGCTGCAGGGGCAGCGCGCGGGCCACAGGGGCAGGCACGGCTGCAGGGGCAGCACGGTCGCAGGGTCGAGTACGGCTGCAGGGGCAGCACGGTCGCAGGGGCGAGTACGGCTGCAGAGGCAGCGCGGTCGCAGGGGCGAGCACGGCTGCAGGGGCAGCGCGGTCGCAGGGGCAGCGCTCGGGCTGCAAGGGCAGCGCGGCTGCAGGGGCAGCGTAGGAAGAAAATTTTACGGGTAGGGCAGGGCGGAACGTTCGGTGGGCCCTAGGAACGATTCTGCTCTAATACCATGTTAGAATAAGCAGGCAGGAATGATTGCATTGAGCAGTAGGATGAGTACAAGTATGAAACCCTAAAGGGTTGTACTTACTAGAGTATGCCCCACTACAGCCTAGAAGAATACAAATGTAATTTGACATAAATTTCACCCTTATAATCAGTATAGCAGTGTGAATTACACTGATAAAATAGGCCCTGTGTGAAGGTACCGTAATCTCCCGGATAAAAGACCCCCCTGCGTAGAAGTCCCTGGGTCCTCGTTCTGGACCAAGGGGCTTTATTCCGACCTGTCCTCATGAGAACCTGCCATATTCATTTTTAGAGTTAGGGGTATTTCTATAAGTGTTTTTTACCCTGTTACACTGAAAATCAGGGTAGTTTTTGTTGATTACACGTCAGTTTGAGTGCATGTCATCCTAACGTCCTGACGAGTGCTCGTTCTATTCATGCGTGCATTGTTTGCATGGGTATGTGTCATTGTGCATGGCTGTTGGATATTATCATCTTTGTGTTTTTCTCCAAGTTTAAATGCTTGATCATGTAGGAAAAATCCAGAGCTTTCCAACGATACCAAGATCGCCTTATTCTGACCAAGATCGCCCAAGTTACAAGATTTCTAAGCCTTGGATTTCTTATTACCTTTTGGGGTTATATATAATTTGGGTGATTACTTGGACATGACTATAAAGGGATCTTTGGTTGAATTTGCATGTGACACCTCGAGGACCTCATGATGACGGTTGTATCCAGGGCCTATGATATCAGGGTAAAACATCCTGATTACCCTGATTTCAGGATGATGTTTTGACTTGCCCTGTAATTTCAGGATGCTGTGATTTTTTACCCTGTGACCTCAGGATGATGCTATATGTTTTGCCCTGAAATTTCAGGATGGCCGTGGTGTTTTGCCCTGTAAAGTCAGGATGAACGACGAGGACTGCCCTGACAAGTATCCAGGTACCTGCCCTCTCTGCCCACCCTCCAGGCACCTACCCTCTCTGCCCTCCCTCAAGGTACCTGCCCTCTTTGCCCTCCCTCCAGGTACCTGTGTCAGAAATAGGAAAGAAGGAATGACTAGAATGACAGCAGTACAGGGTTTCTATAGCAAAACCTAATTTGGGCTGTACCCCATAAGGAGTGCCCCACTACAGCCTAGAGCATATAAATGCATAGTTCTGACACACCCCCATAGGCAAAGTGGGGGACAAGCAAGAG